GGGGGGAAAGAGAAGTATTCCCAGCTAGAACAGCTGGGTCAGGAGGGGCGCCAGGTGACTCAGCCGGTCAACCCCCTGACTCTTGATCTCAGCTCAGGTTTTGACCTTAGGGTTGTGAGTTCAAGCCCTGCGTGGGGCTCCATGCCAGGTATGGAGCCTACTTCAAAATAAATAAACAAAATAAAAAGAATAGCTGGGCCAGGAGATAGGACCACCTAAAATTTTTTATAAATTCTACCCACTGCCCTCCCCAGCGGCCGCACCGGTTACCTCCCCACCTGGAACAAATCGGAGCTGCCCCTTCCCAGGCCCTCAGCAGTCTGGCGGAGTGTTGTTCTGGGATCTTGCTGTGAAGCCCCCGGACCCAGCACACGGAAAGCACTCAGTCCAAGGTCCTGCTGCTATTTCAACAGACTGCCAAGCAGGGCCGTCTGGTGAGTGGAAACCGGTGCATCACTGCTGTTTTCATTTTAGTTTTCCCCGGTCACAAATAATACTAGCTCTCAACCAGTTTAGTAGCTTTAGGATCTGGAGATGGTCTGCGTCACCTCCGGCAGTTCCCATGTTTGTCTCCTATATGGTCTTCTAGCACTGTGTTGACAGGAGCCACCGCGTGCCCAGCAGTTTGGGAGGCTGGGCCATGCTAACCTAAGCCTGTGCGGGCGCATGCACGTGTGTATACGTGTTTTCTCAGGTCCCTCCAATGCATCCCATCTCATCAATTTATCGGTTTACTCTCGCTCCAGTAAGTTTTGTGCTACTTTATTGCTTCACTGAGTCATACAAACATCTACCCTCCCAGCCCGCCTCCTCCTCCTGTACCCCCGGCCACACCGAACCTCCTTCATCACCCTCGCAGGCTCCTCCATCACCTGCCTTTCACAGCTAATCCAAAACTCAGCTCAGGTCGCCTCCACGGGAAAGCCTTCCTGGACCATCCCCTGTCCTCGGTCTAGGTTAATGCCACGTGGCCCCCCACAGTTATCTTTTAGTGGCACCCCAACCCACTTGGGCATGACTATTATCCTATTATCCCTACACTTGGTAGGCGTTCAATAAACATTTTGCCCGGTGACTTAATGCAGACATGCTTGAAGAGACAACATGGGGGTGCCTGGGAGGCTCGACTGGCTGGGTGACTGCCTTCAGCTCAGGTCATGATCCTGGAGGCCCGGGATCGAGTTCTGCATCGGGCTTCCTGCTCAGTGGGGAGTCTGCTTCTCCCTCTGACCCTCCCCACTCTCATGCTCTCTCTCAAATAAATAAGATCTTTGGGGTGCCTGGGTGGCTCAGTGGGTTAAAGCCTCTGCCTTCGGCTCAGGTTATGATCCCAGGGTCCTGGCATCGAGGTCCGCATCGGGCTCTCTGCTCAGTGGGGAGCCTGCTTCCCTTCCTCTCTGTCTGCCTCTCTGCCTACTTGTGATCTCTGTCAAATAAATAAAATCTTAAAAAAAAAAAAAGATCTTTAAAAAAAAATAAGAGACAACACGGTTCTGGCAGGTTAGCCTCTCCTCCAGCAGAGGTGTGCGGCTGCCGCCTAGGCATTCTGATGGAGTCATCAGAGCAAAGAGAGTGCGAAAGTATTAAGCTCATGTATCGGCTTGTCAAAAACTGGCAAAAACTGGCACTGCGATGTTTCCATATGAACAAGTTTGACAGATTACTGTAAATTACAAGGTGAATCAAAACAAAACTTAACGAGAGCCAGACTGATCTACTGACTTAACACCCTTTTCCAAAGCATGTGGGACATAAAGGAAAGAAGGAATACAGAAGTGACAGGCTGGGTCTCTCTCCGTACGCTACCACTACCTTATGTGACAGTAGAGAAAACGGATCTACGCTCGCTGGGCTAAAACGAGTATGACTTCAGTTTTCAATTATTTTACACACATTCCTGTTTCTACACCTCCACTGTTCCCTGGTGAGTGCTTTCCGTATACTGGGGTGGACAAGATTGCTTTCCCTTACTCCGGGAAACCCTGTGACAGTCCCCTTCAGAGGGAGGAGGCAGTAAGGCGGCCCAGCCCTCAGATGAGGGGGAACCAGGATGCTCATTAATTTTAGCAGGTTTGTACTACGTAACTTCTCAAAGCTATGACAAAGGTGATTCAAAGTCCACTGATTCCTTCCAGGCACATTTAACCTTCTTTACTCTTTGCCAATCACACTAAACCTTTGCGGGGGGAGGGGGGGCACACACTGAAACAGGAAGAGCCGTACCAACCCTGCTTTTCTCAGGCCTCTTCCCATCGCTACATGATGAGTCGGCAGGACCGCACCAGGGTTCCCATCAAATGCTGTTGATCAAATGCTGTTGGTGGGGGACATTCAGGTTCTCTCGAAATCTGTCTTGCCTTCCTAGTTCCCGCGGCACAAAGTCTCGCTTTCTCTGCCTGGCCATCAGAACAGCCTTGCCTAGTCAACATTTTCCCTTCTATTCCACTTGGCTACTTTCCATTCTACCAGCACCGTTTCCTTGCTGTGTCACAAATACGCTAGGCTCAGTGTCATCTGTCCCAGTACACGCACGCCCCTGATGGCCTCCCCCTTCCGTTCTGTCCCAGTCACCGGGCCCCACCCCACGAAGCCCCTTCCGCACTTCCACCCTCTGCTCCTCCTGCAGGAAGGTGCTCGGGCTGCAGACCCATCGTCCCCTTCAGTGCGCACAGTGCTGCCTACGTTGTTCGCTGATCAACTGTAAGCGTCTCAGCTCTTAGTTACGTTGAAAGTACCCTATAAAGTGTCGCACTTTCCTAGGGTATGACCAGACCAGTGGGCTGGAAGGAGCTCTGCACTGGGGGTGGGGGGGGCAGTCCTGGTAGCTATAGCACTGGTCAAACCCCCAGCTAGGACTTCACTGTTAACCAAAATCAGAGGTCTGAACCTCTCAGGACCTCTAATCGCTAAGGTCTCTGCCCTTTAATTTCTGAGTCAGTCACTGAAAATGAGACTCTGTGCAGCAGGAACAAAGGAGGCAGGACAGGTTTCAAGAGGACCTGAATCGGTTAGAAAGGCTCGTCTGGCCATGATACCAGCAACTGCTAGGAAAGAGATAAACCTGGTATAAAATGAAGACTTTTGTTTGGGAACCAAAAATCAATCATTTATTTTGTTAAGATAATGTAGATTCATTCCATTTTCTGAGATGTTTATACAGAAAATGCTGATTTAGTCTCCTCTCTCTCTCTCTCTATACAGATATATATATTTTAAACTATGATAAACTAAAAATAGCTTTCCAGAGGATATTTACAGAGGCAAATATTATAATAAAGAATATTATTTTCAATCCCCAAATTTGAAGCAATTCCTTATTTTCTACTTCTCTAAGAAGGTCGTGATAATGTCTGGCGCCAACAGCATTTGATGGGAACCCTGGTGCGGTCCTGCCAACTCATGATGTAATGACGGGATAAGGCCAGAAGAAAGCAGGGTTGTTACAGCTCTTTTCCAGTTTTTCAAAACAAGCATCTGAAGTTAAAACACCACGCTATTTAGGGATGACTACATACTGTTGTCTGTGGTAAGATTTTCCTGAGGACCATGTTTCAGTGTAGAAAGTAACTGTGTTTGATACGGTGAAGCAGACAAGACCCTATTCTTGGTCAATGATTATATCTTTTGTCAATGATATTCTTGGTCAATGATAATTTCTTTTTCTTCCTTTTTGCTGACAACCAATGACCTACAACCCCTGTACCAGGAATTTAGCAGATCAGAGTCGAGACTATTTGAAGACACATGGCCAAGGTGTCTAAAGATATTTGTTTCAAATATATAACAAAGTCAGAGTTTTGAGAACTGCTGCTGCTGTTATGCTCTGAAGCCGTGTGGCATTATTCTCCATGTTAGAAAGCAGCACACGAAAGAAAACATCAATATAACTCCTAGCAGGTTTCTTTTAGATCCCAATCTAACGTAAGAGGCCTCCTTGCTTCCCTAGTTCCAGGCCCGAGTCTCACTAACATCAGCAAATACGGTGTCCAAGCTAGCCACCAGTGCTGATCTTGAAATCATTCAAAATGGAACGATTTAAGAAAATAACAGAGAAACACAGCTGTTGAATACTTGTATTTTGCTCTCTACCAAAACTTTCTCTAACACTTCGGTAAAGAAGTTCTTTAAAGTATGAGTCCATCAGTAAGGTCAAGAAGATGGGAAGAGGGGAGAGAGGAGAGGACAGCGGTCAGCAGTCCAGGAGCTGGAAAGTCGATGCAGAAGTGGTCGTTTCTCTCGGGAGACGAGAGAGCCAGAGCCCGGCCGTGGGCCAGGAGGCCACAAAAAGCAGACAGATCAGAAGCCTGGCCGCGCGGGGCTGAGCACGAGACCGGCAGGCTTGGTTCCGCGCGTCTGAACAAGTCACAATGACCCAGCACCCACTCCCGCTCAAACGCCGTGACCTCCCCGAGAGCGCGCAGGCCCAGTCCCGGGCCGGCCTCGGAAACGGGCAGGAAGGTTAAGGGCTCCCGCTGCAGGGCTCTACGGCAACTGCCCTGACAGACGCACATGTGCTCTTGTGCAGACCTCTAGTTTCGGGGAAGAAACAGACTTCGCTGAAGCAGCTCTTGCCAGCGGAGAACAGACGAGAAACAATATACACAAGGAGGAGGAAACAGAACTGAACTTGACAATTCAACTGGGGGCACCTGGGTGGCTCGGTCAGTTAAGCATCTGCCTTTGTCTCAGGTCATGATCTTGGAGTCCTGGGATCGAGTCCCCGACATCGGGCTCCCTGCTCAGTGGGGAGCCTGCTTTTCCCTCTCCCTCCGCCCCTCCCCCTGCTTAGGCTCTCTCTCTCTCTCTCAAATAAATAAAATCTTAAAAAATATTCAACTGAAATGAATCTATCCACCGTCTAGCTAGCTAGTTCACTCCATTAGATGCATGTAATGAATATGGACCACAGTATGTCTGTTTGTATCACTGGAGAGCAAAGTCGAAAACAGCACGCCACCTGTCACATAAAAGGAACCACTCCCTCATCTATGTGTTTTTACCTGGTTGGAGCTTACTGGGGTGCTGCTGTGCTCCGGCTCCGGGGAGAGGAGGAGGGCTTACCCCTGTGGGCCCAGCCCCCTGGGTCGGGCTCACACCGGTCAGAGCCCCCGTGGGCAGTGGCTGCCCTCTCTTTAACAGCTGCTTCTGTTCTTGCTGGCGGAAGCGTGGCGGCACCTCGCGAGGCAGGTAACGGGAGGCAGCCGGCTGCTGGCTGCTGGCAGGCGCACGTTTGCCATTGCTGCTGCTGGACAGAGTGCTGGTGCAAGCGCTGGTACTGGTACCGGCAGGTTGGGGCTGGCTTGAACAGGTCTTAGTAGGTTCTGGCACTATAAGGAATGAAACAACAAGAACCCAAAACTTTAGGAACACTCCTTAAAACCCACACCAAACCAAACCAAACCAAACCAAACAAAAACAAAAAACCGAGAAAGAAATGACAACGCAGTGCTCTGAAAATAGAAACGGACTAAAGTCCAGAGGTTCAGGTTTGAGACCCAGTTTTCTTAGAAACTGAGTGCAATTCTGAGCAGCGGGTTTTGGGCCGCAGTCCCCTGCTCTGTAGAATGGGTGACTCAGCGAGTCCAAGTTCGCAGTGGTTTACGCTTCGGCTTGCATCAGACTTGACCCAACAAGTTCCCAAGGTGCCTGATCTGATGCCGGCAGCCCCTGGAGCACACTTTGAGAACCACCGCTCTTGGCCAGTGTTTTCTCAAATTACAGGATCTTAGATGCTCATCCATCTATATATGTATTTTGTTCTGTTTTAATTCTGAGGACAACACACACGCGCACACACACGCGCTCCCCGAGCAGAGCGCTGGTGCTGCCGCTATTATCAGGTCCAGCACACGCCATCACACTCTCGCTGGCAAAGAATACAGACGGGCTAACTTGCGTATGATGCTCACAAATTAGAGAGCCAAACTGCTGTCTGAGTGTTGCATAACAAGAGTTCCACAGTAATTCAACAGGAAGAGGGAGCAGCAGAGCTGAAGGCAGGCCTGAGAGTGCTGTGTTACTACTAATAAGCACGCCAAATGCAAAGGTGAGTGACCCTGCATTCATAAGGGAGCCCAGACACATGAAATGCAAAGAATTTGAGCCTCAAAAGCCGTTGTCATCTTGAATTTGAAACATAAATATCCAGGACATTACATTTACCTTTTTTTTTTTTTTTAAGGAATTTATTTGAGAGAGAGAGAGAGCACATGAGTGGGGGGGTGGTTGTCAGAGGGAGAGAAAGAAGCAGACTCTGCTGAGCAGGGAGCCCGATGCAGGGCTCAGTCCCAGGACCCCAAGATCATAACTGAGCCAAAGGCAGATGCTTAACCAATTGAACCACCCAGGTGCCCCCCAAAGAATGATTTATTTATGTGAGGTGGCAGGGGGCCGGGAGAGAGAATCTCAGACAGACTCCACACTGAGTGTGGAGCTCAACATGGGGCTTGATCTCACAACCCTGAGATCATGACCTGAGACAAAACCAAGAGTTGAATGCTCGATCAACTGTGCCACCCAAGTGCCCCTGCCTTGTTGTCTGGGGAAAAAAAAATTTTTTTCTACTTAATTTGTAAATGTCTTTACACAGAATGAGTTTATACCTAGTTCAGTATCTACCTTAAAAGTGTTAAGTAACATTGGGGCGCCTGGGTGGCTCAGCGGCTCCTGATCTCAGGCTCCTGGGATCGAGCCCCACATCAGACTCTCTGCTCAGCAGGGAGCCTGCTTCCTCCTCTCTCTCTGCCTGCCTCTCTGCCTGCTTGTGATTAATAAATAAATAAAATCTGTGTCAAATAAATAATATAAAATAAATGTCAAATAAATAAATAAATAAATAAGTTAAATAAGTGAAATCTTTATTTAAAAAAGTGTAAGTAACATTATAAAAGTATTTCCAGTCCCTCCTGGGGGAACACAAAATGTCACTGCTGGCCTTGACATTACCCGTTTCACATGGCCTGAGTTTCTCGTCTGCCAGCATGGGCTCTGCCATGCCCCTGTGGCCCTGTACTGTCTCACAGACCACGTCTGCAAGGCCTCAGCCAACTGTTCTTCTGTCACCCTGCCCAGCAAACCCTTAACCCTAGATGAAGCCACTGTGTACTCGCTCTACTGCTGACTCAGATCACAGACTTGCAGTCCGCCATCACTCTGAGTTTGTGTCCCTAACCCAGGGCGCACTCAGTGCCTCCTGGCCATTCTACCATTTCCTGGGCCTTCTGGGTTCCACTGCTGTCAACAAGTCACTCAAAGACTTCCACTCCGGAGCCGCTAATGCCTTTATTTCCTCCTCCTCAGAAGAGGAACTGTGACTTTACTCTCCAGAAGGAATAAAAGCCATTAGGCAAAACCTTCACGTTTCTGCCACTCCAAATACATGAGCATCAAACCGTTCTCTGAACCATGCCTGTTAACTCCGATCTGTGGTGAACACTGTATTTTACCAGTTCCAAGACTTCCATTTCTTCATAAGTTAAACGCATTTACATCAGGATGTGTCCTACCGTCGATGACACGCCGGTCAGTCGGCCGTGTTTTCTCTTGGCGTATGAATACGGTACAGTTCACAGTCAAGGGCTTCAGGGAGGAAACGCAAGGTGGTGTCCTCCGGGGGACTCCGTCTCAGGGACTTTGCGTGCCCTGGGTCTTCAGCCCATGACACTCTCCAGAGCCGACACAAAGGCCCAAAGCTTGAAAGTGCGTCTTCGATTATTTCTTTGTTTTATAAACACAAGCATGCAAGACAATCTAGCCACTTGAGCTTCTGTGGAGAGCGGAGGTAAGCACATTCGCAACTTCTAACTTGCCCAGGGGTTGTGTGGCTGCTCTCCGCAAGCCCCTCCTCGTCAGGATTCGGACCCGCACAATCTCCACTTCCTTCAAAGACAGCAACAACTACTGCCCTCCGTGACCCGGAATTCCCCCGCAGCTACCTCCTGATTTGCTGCCTCTCCTCCTGTCGAACTTCTTAAAGGGTCTGTTGTAACTGCCTCTTGCGGAGTCCTCACCATCCCTTTGCCTTTCTCCAGCCCTTCTTTTCTAGACCCACCTGCTGACTCCACCATGCCCACCCTCTCTCTTCAGGGACTGCTGTTCTCCCCTCTTCTATCCAAGTACCGTGCCTCAGCAATTCTCATACACAGCTCTGCACATGTTAATACTCCTGAAACTGAGATGCATCTTATAATTAACGACGTATGTATCAGGTTAACTGGCAGTATTTGTTCTAAGTGGTACATGAAATACTGCATAATTAATAATCTATCAGATTCAGTAAAACATGGTGATTCCTAGCCATTCTTTAAATTATCAGATTAAATGTCACTTCTCCTCAGTGCCCCCTGCCGGCTCCCCCACCTTCCCACCGCCCTGTACGCGCGCCGGCACTCAGCACTGCGCACCGCTTTCGAGGCGGCCGTCTCTCCACGAGGCCGCGGTGGACGTCACCGTGGTGCCTGGCCCACAGTAAGCGCTCAACAAACGTCCAAGGGCTTGACTTTTTCTCAAACACACATTCTGAAGTTAAAGCGAAATGGAGAGATAGCAGAATATAAAGAAAGTAACTGGAAAAGCAGAAAAAATACTAGACTAGGGAAACTGAGGGCCTGGATTCCAGGCCAGCGCCCACTGATCACGTGCACGGTGCCAGTCCAGAGGTTTCCCTGCAGCTCGGTCTCCTCATCGAGAAACTAAAGGCTGAGACCGCTGACTCCCTCAGGTTCCTTCCAACTCCGAATACCTAGGATTTTCGAAGGGAAGAATAAAGGATGTGGCATGCGGTTTTAGCTCTGTGATGGCTGGCCCTTCCCAGCACACCGAGTGCTTCCTACATGTTCTGCCTCTCTCTGCTCCTGTTTCCCTGGCCTGGCTACAGACGTGGCACATTTTTTATGATTTACTTAGATTCGATGGTTATTCACCTTTAACTCAAAGGCACAGGAAATGAGCATCCATTCTAGCTTTCCTTTAAAAAAAAAAAAAAGCTATAAAACCTACTATAGGTTGATTTTTTTTTAATTAAAAAAATTTTTTAAAAAGATTTTATTTATTTGACAGAGAGAGAGAGAGAGATCACAAGTAGGCAGAAAGGCAGGCAGAGAGATGGGGGGAAGCAGGCTCCCTGCGGGGGAAGCAGGCTCCCTGCTGAGCAAGGAGCCTGAAGCGGGGCTTGATGCCAGGACCCTGAGATCATGACCTGAGCCGAAGGCAAAGGCTTAACCCACTGAGCCACCCAGGCGCCCCTACAGGTTGATTTTTAAACATAGGGGCTTTCAAGTATATATTTTTTTCTGACATTGGCCTACAGCTAATTAAAACAGCAGAAATTTCTAAGTATTTACCCCAATGAGTTGAAGATTTCTATCTACACAAACCTTCACAGGAATGTTTAGAGCAGTTTTATTTCTAGTTGTCCAAAATGGGAAGCCACCGAGATGTCGTTCTCTAGGTGACGGGTGAAGGAACTGGTACATCCGTACAATGGAGAATTACGTTTAAAAGAAATGCGTTATCAAGTCCTAACCAGAAATGAAGGAATCTCATGCATACTGCTAAGTCAAAGAAGCCAATATGAAAAGGCTTCACAGTCTATGATTCCTACTACAGAACACTGTGGAAAAGGCAGAACTATGGAGACAGTAAAACTCTCAGCAGCTGACAAGGGCGTGGGGAGGGAAGGAGGCAGAGGCAGAGCACAGGGAGTGTTCAGGGCAGTAAACCAGTATGATACTTTAATTGCGGATATATGATACCAGCATTTGTCAAACTCCTTAGAACTGTATAACACAAAGTTAACTCGAATGTAAACGGTGGACTTCGGTTAATAATAATATACCAATACAGGTTCATTGATTCAACAAAAGCCCCACGCCAAGGCCAAAGTTGGTAAGAGGAGAAACTGAGGATGTGTCAGAGGTGGGGAGAGGAAGTACTGTGGGAACTCTATACTTTCTGCTCATTCTTTCCATAAACCAAAAACTGCTCTAAAAATAACGGCTATGAAGTTGGTGGGAACGCAAACTGGTGCAGCCGCTGTGGAAAAGAGTATGGATGTCCCTAAAAAAATTAAAACTAGGGGCACTTGGGTAGTTCAGCCAGTTCAGCGCCGGACTCTGATTTCAGGTCATGATCTCGAGGTGGTGCGATCAAGCGCCGCGTCGGATTCAGCACTGGGCACAAAGCCTGCTTAAGATTCTCTCTCCACGCCCCTTCTCCCTCTCTCTAAAATAATAAATAAATAAAGTAAAAATAGAATGACCACATGATCCAGTAATACCATTACTGGGATTTACCCAAAGAAAATGAAAACACTGCCTTGAAAAGATAA